AACAGTCCAAAACACAAAATCTTAACATAGACCAATTAACCATGAAAATTAGGTCAAGGTCAGATGATACCGGCTACAGTAGACAGACATGCACACCTTACAATCATTCCATACACCAAATATAGTTGACCTATTGCTTTGAAGCAATATTCAAAATTACGTAATTTTAGTAGTTGAAAAAAACAGTCCAAAACACAAAATCTTAACATAGACCAATTAACCATGAAAATTAGGTCAAGGTCAGATGATACCTGCTACAGTAGACAGACATGCACACCTTACAATCATTCCATACACCAAATATAGTTGACTTATTGATTTTTGTATTTAAAAAGTAGACCATAACACAAAAGCTTAAATTGACTAATTTACAATGAAAATGAAGTCAAGGACAATGAATCTATCACAGACAGGGCCGTAAATTACATGGAGTTGCCTCCTATTGCGGACTGACAAAAAAAGATCAAAGGACTGAAGTACTGAACATCGGATGACCGCAAGTTCTTGTGGATTGTCAAAAACACTTGTCACAGAAAAAAATCACATCTCTATACCTGAAACTGAGGTTAATGTACAGAGATATTTTTTTTCTGAGACAAGTTCGTGCGTGGATGATGAATACATGACAGGAAATTCAACCTCACCGTTATAACTATTATATTGTAGTGATACAAATCAGTATACACTGGTTTGTTGTTATAAATTATATTAATATAACAGTTACATGTATATATAATTTTCATCCATTTGTATATCATTCTATTCTACTATTCTAATAAGAGTGCAGTGCAAGTGCATGGTGGACACTCTTCTGTAAAAATTCTTCTAAAAGATTGGATATGAGTAGGCATTCATATTTTCCTGCAAAAACAATCTTCCATGCAGAGTTACCGGTACTTGCCGGGATTGTCGCAAAATGTTCTTGAGATATTCTTCCGCATGCTTTACCATATCAATGATTTTTTACTTCTATATATATATCTAACGACAAAACATTTTCATATTATTAATTTATGTTCTAAACAAAAATATTGTTATCAGTATTAATTGAAGAGATGTATTTATAACAAACGATGAGGAATGTTATTTTGCACTCGTTAATATCCGCGTATTTATCATGTTTATAGATCGATTACAAACCCAAAACGAAAGTTACGTAATGGAAATCTAGGCGATAGCAATACATCGGAATGCCCTCACGGTCATCGCGATGTAAAAATAAAAAAAATCATGCATTATTTTAATAGCACTGGTTGTGAGTTTAACCAACAAGGTGATTAATCATAATGGCAGGGTGTTATAGGCTCTATTGCTAATGAGTATATAAATGATACCCCACATGTTCATGTACCCTGGTGACTTGCCTCAAGAAGTTCACAGATGGGAAACGTTTACGTCTATTAAGGAGGTTAGGTCAAAATGTACAACAGAGCAAGCAATCAAACACACGCAGTTCTACTCAAATATAAAACAAATACTATCGCTTCTGTTAGGCTTGCCAGTTGCGTCTTGCAGATGTGAGGGATCGTTTTCTGCGCTACGGCGCCTTAAAACATGGAACAGGTCAACAATGATGGAAAGCAGAATGTGTGGTATGGGTATGATACACATATATAGAAGTGACAATGTTGGCAATATTGAATGTATAGAAGTGCTAAAGAGATGGGATTCGTCTGGGCACATAAAAATCGCCTTTGCATTTGACAAAGCCTAACTGAATAAAACTTTCAGTGTGAACAAACAGTCTTACGTTATAATACTTTGAATTTGATAATTAAAGTTATGAGTCATTACGTGTGCATTTTCATTTTAAGGTTTGAAAATTGTGTCTGTGAAACAAAGTTAAAATAGCTCCATTGGGACAGCCAAAAAGCAGGATAAACCACCAAAAAATTTCAGAGGGGCCTTTCATTTTAAGTTCGCAAATTGTCAGTTTCCCTAAAACTAAGTAAAAATAGTTTGTGAAGAGTCATAAAGCAGGATAAAGCGTGAAAAAAATCTTACTTTACCGGCACATCTCATCTAACTCTGGTTTGTAACTGTATTCAATATATTTTAGGCGCTTATTTATTGAAATCTATCAAAAATCTAACAAGTCACAGTGGTGGATTCTGGGGAGGTACATTGCATACAGGAAACTTGCCCGAAAAAAATATCATTTTCTGCATAAAATGGGTCCAAAAAATATTTACCTCAAAATAGGCTTTTTTTCTGAACTTTTTATGAATTCATCCAATAAAGCAAGTCATCCCTCACAGTCCTTCATACTTGACGGTTGTCAAATCTCAGTTCTTAAAAGAAAACGAAAGTTAATAACAGCATTATGAACTAGAAAACTGTGTTATATTAACAAAGTCTTCAAGTGTAAGTAATAATTTTGATCTTGCTTTCCATAATGTTTGGTATGGTACTTTTCATTATTATCTTGCTTTTAAAACAGATTGTGTGTATGCACATGTGACATGATATTTAAGTGGGGTTTTTTTCATGACGAAAAAAGTGCGGAAAACTAATTATTTTAGTAATTTTTCAACGTCCAAAATTTGCTGGGCAATGAAATTGAAAATTAATTTAGTTGCATGTCCCTTTCTCTATTAGGCCCAGGCCACATTAGTCATGTTAGTAAAGGTATCTAATATCTATATATAATAAATTTTATTTTCAGGAGTTTTGACAGTGGTTCCCTTGAAATAGAAGGGGGTGGAGAGGGAATAGTGTTCATTCACAAAAGTTAATTTACTTGTGGTAGTGAAAAGTTGAAAGTTGATTCTCAGGAGGGGAGATGACAATTTTTGTGTCATTTGTGGCTAAGCAGAAAATAAATAATCAATCTGCCTTTTTGTTGGAAATAAATTATAGTTTGACCTCATCATATTTGCCAGATGGCAGTCTTCATGATAAACATTTAAATCGGCAGGCTCAGAGTTCAAATGTTTGGAAAATTTCTGTTGAATTCTGTTGGCCTCAGTGTGGCTAAGTATGAAGACTGGGCAACAGGTCTCTCTCAGAATCAAATGATTGTCCCTATTTCTGGGACCTTGTTTTGTTTTTATGCTTCAGGAAACTTGGTATTTACCTTAATAGTCTCCGTTTAATTTATTCAAAACTTTTCTGGACAAGGACCTTTAAATTACATGTTTTAAATAAACAGCTGCACAATGACTGCCAATGAGCGCATGATACGCCCGTCGCATTTTTCAAAGTTCAACCACTTCTCAATGTCATATCAGAAATTTATAAAAATCCAAATGGAGGTTATCTTAATAGATATAAATCAGTCAACAAAGTTTAATAAAACTACTCATAGTACTTTAGCATGTTTAGAGATATTGTCCGAAAACTTGAAAATCCCCCTTTTTGTAATCAATAAAACCCCATAACTCGGAAACATAAAATAAAAGAATTATAAAAATAGATAGGAAGCTCATGTCAATAGATATAAACTATTCACCAAAGTTTCTTGCAAATTGGTGAAAGCATTTTTGAGTTTTTGTCAGAAATATGGAAAATCCCCCTTTTTGTAAAGAAGTAAACCCCAAAACTCGGAAAGGTAAAATCTCAAATTTATAAAAAAATCAAGGTGAGCTCATGTCAATAGATATAAACAAATCATCAAAGTTTCATGCAAATTGGATGAAGTGTTTTTGAGTTAATGTCCTGGGCGACATGTTGACGACGGACGGACAGACAACGGTATACCATAATACGCCCTGTAAACAGGTATATAAAAATTAAAGGGGTATAGTAATGATACTGTTGTCAGGTCATTAATGATTGCATATTTTTATGCTCCCGCCGAAGCGAAGGGTGCATTAAGTTTTACCCTTGTCCGTCTGTACGTACGTCCGTACGTCCGTCCGTACGTCCCGAAGTTGGTTTCCGTTCTCTAACTTATGTGACCAAGCTCGAGGTTTTTTTTGGGAAGTATAGGTTGTTTAGGACTTTATGTAAACAATAAATACCTTACATCATCATCATGGACAACTAATTTATTGAGAAATCAATTAACGAAGTAAAGGCTGTGGATTTTCAGCAAAATTCTTTGGTTAACCGACCACAAAACTAACATTTTTTATCAAATGCAAAGAAAAATTAAATATTATTCTGTTGGTGTCCTTGTTAAATGTACAATATGGCATCCTCTTTTTCAAGTATTTTTTTCTGTTTTGATATTATTTCACTTTAAAAAATATCAATACGCAGACCTACAGAAGGGGTCATATTAGTCTTAAATTTTTACTCACTTCCATGTCTCCAGAATTAGGCGGGAAATCTTATCGTAACCCCTCGGGAGTTACTATCCGGCATAGGTCGGTCTAATTACAGTATATCGGTTCCGGTCGCCATTTTAAAGTGTTTTTTTCCCCTTTTTGCATCCAATTATAAAGAACTTTTTTTATCTTGACCTATAGTGCATACATGTAACCAGTTTTACCTTTAAACTTTACAAATATAATATGGAGCAGGCGCTTAGTTTTTTTTTACTTGAAGAGCTCCCGAAGTTTTTTTAAGAATGATATATAATATTAGGAAATGTATAATTAAGGCAGTGGCTATTTTGCCGGCACTGTGTTAAAAAAAAAATTGAACCTCCCCCAATTTTTGTTGTTAAAAAAAATGGTAACGTCATTGTTGAAGAAAAAAAAAAACAAATCCATAGAAACAAAACACACCAAAACAAAATAAAGCAACAACAGAAATAAAAATATTCCCAAACTTTCCGAAGCACCACCGACAAAAGGAGAGAAAGCAAGAAAACAAAAACAACAGAAAAAAAACAAGATTGGTAAAACGCTATGATAATTGACGTCATTGGATTGAATTCACAGTTAAAACGCAATTGATCAATTAACACTTCGGGTTGTAGTGTGTTGATGTTCAGAGGTTGCCGTAAACTGTCTCATCTAACATGATCATATCCATCACATCACGTTTAGTATTCCTTTAACCATCTAACGACAAGACGTCGAAAGACCAATTTATACAAAAATAACGCAATAATGCATTGTAGTGGATGTAATTGGACATTGATAAATGGATCCTTTTGGGACCAGTTTACTTATGATAATCCAGTGACAGAAGAAGGAGATGTACTTTTTGAAATGTATCATCTACCGTTGTCATTTATTGCTCCTTTGGTGCTCCTATATGGCGTTGTTGTTGTCATTAGTTTTGGCGGGAATATTGTCGTTTGTTATACGATATATGATGTAAAAGGTCTGCATACAGTAACAAGCTTTTTCATTGCAAATCTATCTGTCAGTGACATTCTGATGACGGTTCTCTGCATTCCGACTACTGTTCTCAGCGATATCATTTATAAACATTGGCTGCTGGGATCATTCATGTGCCCTGTGTTACGTTATTTTCAACTTGTCGTTGTTATGCAAAGGGCATTCGCAATAGTAGCTATTACATGTGATCGGCATTTTTTAATTTCTAAACCACTAAAAAAGAGAATGACTAAACCCACAGCCAGATTGCTAGTTGCACTGCTCTGGTTAGCTGCATTTGTTATTGCATTGCCAACAGCCATGTTTTCCCAAATTCATTATTTACAGTACGAACCAGGATCGCACGGACTCTGCATCGAAATTTGGGAAACCCATAGACTTCGAAATGTGTATAGCATTATAATACAATTACTTCAGTATGTTATTCCCTTAATTATAATGATATGTGCATACATTAACATTGGATACATGATTTGGATAAAACAAACACCTGGTGAGGCAAATAAAGAAAGAGATAAGAGAATTGCATTATCTAAAAGAAAGGTGAGTTTAAGAATTAAGAATTTGGGCAAGAATAGATCCAATTGATACAAAGCAAACTAAGGGTTTGTATAAAAACTCAAAACGGGGCTGATATCATTGGTTTAAGGATGATATCACACTTAAAACTAACAGACTATTTCAGAGATAGGAGAATTGCATTATCTAAAAGAAAGGTGAGTTTAAGAATTAAGAATTTGGGCAAGAATAGATCCAATTGATACAAAGCAAACTAAGGGTTTGTATAAAAACTCAAAACGGGGCTGATATCATTGGTTTAAGGATGATATCACACTTAAAACTAACAGACTATTTCACAGGTATGTAGATCATTGTTATAAAATAAGTTTGATACATTGAGCTTCATTATTGAAGAGTTTAAAAATTCACCTTTATCAAACATATCTGTATTATTAACATTTTTCTACTTGTTAACATGACATTTTGCATTTTGTATTATGATATAGTTGATTTCGTTACAGAGTTTGAAAATGTTATTCATACTGGTATCCGTCTACGCAATCACATGGCTTCCGATCTATATCATCACTACCATTGCCGATCTCAATCCAACATTATATGACAACAGATATGCGCACATACTATGGCTGTTTTTTCACTGGCTGTCATTCAGCAATACCGGTATCAATCCAATGGTTTATTGTTGGATTAATAAGTCATTTCGGGAGAAGATAAGGCTATTGTTTTATTTGCCTGTTTGTAATCGCAGAAGATCGTTTAAAGCACATAAAAGATATTGTCTTTCAAACAACAAACGTTTTTCCAAAAGAAGAAGAGAAGCATGTAAAGAGAAACAAAAGGAAACTGTCATTTCTTAGACGTTGTGTTTCAAAATAAGGAGTCATCAGTTACTGTCAAACTTTTCATAAAAGAACCAGGAAAGACTCTACCTTGAGTTTTGTTCCAGCGAAGTTGAATGCACTCTTAAATGTATTTCAATATATGTATATCTGTTAATTGTGAGTTCAGAAATAAAGAATCAATCACTAAATAAACGAGTCTATCTATCTCCCTTTCATGTATATTATTTGATTTCATTGTTGATGCATTATATGATAGTCAGCATTAACTAGTAACTACATATCCCTTAATGATTCGAAGACAACCTGGGTTTGTAGTATTGACAAATACGGACCCTTCACTTCAATGTTGGACTAGTGGAGTAGATTGTTAACATCAGTAGTTTTAGATAAGAATTATCGATTCTAAATTAAATAAGAAGCAAGAGATTTACTTACTAACTTTGTTTTTTTTTTCCAAGTAAAACATAACTTGATATGTAATGATATACAGTTATGAACAATTATTGGCTATATCATGTCGATATTTAATTATTGCATTGCACAAGGTCATGATTTTTTAAGTCTGTTAATGACGTCTTTTATCTAGTTCCATTAGATGTGTACATACTGATATTCAAGTATGGTGAAACATGATTGATTCGTTAGTTGTATTGAGCTTTGAACTATAGTGTTGCATAACTGCTAGTCTCTTAGTTTGGTGCTTTGTATCTTTTTTTTTTTTGCGAGTTGCATTTGTGCTTTGTGTCGATCAGATGAGTCAAACTATTTGCAACTGATTTTTACAGTTTGAATAGCTCTTGCGCCACTTTTTATCTTTTGTCTTTTTGTTAGTTGCATTTGTGCTTCGTGTTCATCAGATGGGTCAAGCCATTTCTTACTTTTCACGATTTCTATAGATGATACATCACTGTCACAGGTCAGGGGAATTAAAGATTCTGATCTACAAATAAATGTTTAATCCCGTCATATTCTGTATTTTCCTGTCCTCAGGCATATATTTTTATTTTTATTTTGGTTGATTGTATTAGCATAAATGATTTCTCTGGCGTTGTCGTATTATTTGTTTCATATTTATTAAGCCGGATCCTTGGCTGTTCCTTATTAATAAAGGCCGAACGGACTGAATTGTCTCTACTGACGGTCTTAGTACAATGTAGTAGTCTTTAGTATATCTTTTCAAGTCGATCAAATAATACAACATGCCAATGTCTGTAGGATCGCCCGAGTTGTTTCTCTGATAGACGGTCCTACATGTCTCTATAGACGGTCAGATCGCCATTTACAAGATAGTTACATGAAAGGCAACTAAACTAACATCGTAATGGATATATGAAGCGCTAGGTGTGCTTGATTAATACTGCAATAGATAAAATATAAGAATACGACAAAAACACAATTAAAGACTTTTTGAGAAGCAGATTTTTTAGAAACTTGAGTTTTCAATGTAATTATCACGAGGAAAGTAATCTTATATTTAAAAAAAAGTGTTTTCAAGAAGCTGAATTTTTAAGAAACTTCGCCCTTTTGCATATGTATCATCTCACTTATTTTTCACGTGCTCAATGATTCTGTATTGATTGTTTATTAAGGTACGTTGTTTAAACTTTGGCAAAAAAAAAAAAGACAATTAGCAGGGGAAGTTTCTATTGAATGAAATATTTTTGTCGATTAAATGTTATGGATTAGTAATGAATGTAAACAAAATCGTGCACAGAGGACTTAGTTTAGTATATATTCATGTAAGGGTTCAATAATTTCGTTAGCATTATAATTTCAAGAAACTCGTTTCATATGACTGTAATTGACTAAACAATTATTTCCAACTGTTAGGAAAATGTATTTATGCGTTTCAGTATTCGTTTTTTTTTTTTTGTTGAGTGAAATATTTCTTGTTTTGAATTCCGACCAAACATTTTAACTGTATTTTGTACATGGGAATGAATATCCTTACCTCATAACTCTAGCTCACGTTGTTAAGGCATCATGTGCAGCACCTCATGATGTTCGTTCTCTAAGTTTCTTTCTTTTTCCATTTGTTTACCATTCAATAATAGTGCTATTTCTATCTTTATTGTTAGATCAAGAGATACTACCACAAATTCAAAATGTCGTGTCTCATTGGCAATCATACAACATCTTCTTATTTTTATATAAACAAGCAAAACGAATAGGAACAACAAACACACATGTTCACCTGAATAGTAAAGTGGAGTATTTCATTAAAGTTTTATCACATGAATATCAAAATACCATTGTTATCTTGATAAGTTGGAATTGCATCTACTGTATAGTTGACCAGCGCTATTGATGTATTGATTTTACACTTTATGTTGTAAGTTTCTGAACACTAGAGATTTTAGTAGACTATTTTGAAAAAACCAAGTCATACATCATGCATCAAGTCAATACTTATTAAACGATTAATTGGGTGCTTGAATCAATCTAGTGATCTGTGATACGTTGTCTTCAACTTGTGGTTGCTCGGCAAAAGAGGATATATAAATGAAACCTAATCAGAAATACACCTGTCTGATAAACTGCTATGGTATACAATTGAAACCAAACACTTCTTTGTCAAAATGGTTTATGAAATAGAATGGGCATTGTAAATTCCACAACATTTTAGTCTTAAATTGACTTTTGACCGAGATATTAGGCGCACCATTCAAAATGTCACCAAATTCCTAAAGATCACAAATACTTCAAAACATTGTAAAAATAAGAGTAGAGGATATTGAACACATTTTAGTAAAAGTCAAACATAGGAATCAAAAGAACATAAAAAAAAACACAAACGAAGAGCAACGATACGGTCGGGTTTATGATGCAATCACAACAAAATCATTGGGTGATGCGATCTGGAAATCAACACCGGATGATTTTAGAAAGGTTTAGTTTTAAAATAAACGATGTTAAAATAGTGGCGCAATCAACAGACATAGCTGAAATTTCATTATTCTAATTAAAATACTTGGCTGGCATAGACAATAAGATGTTTAATCCTAGAATGGTCTGTTTGAGACAATATTGTGCATTTTTTAGGTAAACAAATATACAAATAGCTAATATTGTGTCCTTACAAAATGACACGTCTGAAAATGTATTATTTTATCTCAAAACTAGACCGGCATGGACAATGAATAGTTTTATTGCTCTGAAAAATATGATTGCTTTCAACTGACAACATAATATTTGGCTAATATTGCAAGTGAAACCTATTGTACATGTTTTAAGGCCCAAAATTTCATTATGTTATTAGAGAATACATTACCAACATAAAAAATCTTTAGTTTTGTCACCTTAGAATGGTCTGTTTTCAATAAACCTATTATATTTAACTATACAGTTATCTTCAATTATATTAAAACTCACTCATAATAATGACTCAAAATCAACTGTTTTATTAAATATTTGGTTTTTTTTTGCAAATGAATTAGTATTTGAACGTATGAGTGGTCTATTTTTAGAAAAAAATGAACTTTGCAGTCATTTGATAAGCTAAAATCAACGTTTATTACCCTAGAATGGTCCATTATATATTTCAACAATTTTTAGCAAACAAGTTGCTGAAATTGTGTCGCAATCAACTGACACATCAGAAAGTTCATTATTTTATTTCAAACACTTGACCAGTACAGAAAAGGAATATTTGTATTGCCATGGAAAATCTGGTGTCTCTGAATTAATAGCATTTTTTCAAAATCAAAAGCTAGCTTAAATATCATAATGGTTGAAATCTAACTGTGTTCAAAATGATGGGCAAATGAATAGTGCTGATACCTAAAAGGGGTTTGCTTTACCAAATGTTCAACTATTGAACAAAACACTTACCAAGAAAGGATTGCAACAGATTATAAAGTCTGCAAATTAAAAGAAAGAAAATATCTAACACTTTTTAGATGTTGGAAAAGTGCAAAAGTTGTATGCAGAGAAGTCCGTTAGAAGAAATGCTGTTAAGAATATAAACAGAAAAAATAAATAAAATATAAGATGTCAAGGGTCACGCACGGACTTATTTACTGCCTGTCCTATTTAGTCCTTGCGTGACCTTTGACATTTTATATCTTATATTTTTTTTGAAATTAAAAATTAAATTTAAATTAATTACAGCGGTATACTACTGTTGCCTTTATTTTTTCTGTTTTCTGCAATTATAATAGACTAATAGATATCAGTAATTAAATTTGCAGTTCAAGTTCAATAAATCGCAGCTGCAAGTAAAATTTACAGAAATCTCTGTTATGCCATATTTACTGTAAAATTATTTTGTACTACCATTGGCTCAGTACCACTGGTAGTTAACTATAAATCACCGAGGGTACCACCAGCCCAGCAGCCATTGAATGGTACTGGCATGATTTAATTAATACATTATATAACATTCTTGTATATAGATAACATTGACATACTCGGAAACTGTTCGGTCTAGAACGTAGCTAATAGAGTGTATCCCCAAAACAAAGTGTCCTTTTTATCAAGCGCTACTAACAACGTTCAACTATCTTGTCCGTGTTGGTGTGTGTAAATCGTTGAAAAAGTAGTAGTTCAGTTTAAAGGTTATATTGTTTAAATGTATGAAAGAAAAGGCAAAAATCGTTTAATGTACAGAAACGACGATCGACAATGAAAACAAAGATGCATCCCTAAAAGAAATTTTGTAAGTCAATGACTATTTTTTTTAACATTTACTCATATTCTAATAAAATTAATTCAGTATGTCTTGTGATTCCCTTTTTATCGCGTGTCATTCGCACGTTTGGTTTTTCGTTGTTATTTTACTACAATTGTGTTTGTACCACCGCTACTGGATTATCAATCCTAAAAACAAACAACCGCCTAGAAGCAAATGCTTTGGTGATGACAGGATTTTAATGATACACTTTTTTTTAATAAATATCAATTGCATAAGTTTTATAATAATACTCTCAAACTTTTATGAATAAGTATTCCAAAACTCTTTGTTTCGAGGGTATCTGATGATGATTTCTACATAAACACGTGTTCTGCACACAGAA